AAAATTATGTTATCAAATTCTGTTTTAAAAGGCTATTTTCAGTCTACAGTTGATTACTGCCTCCCTGTCAGGCAATAACTTCCACATATTTCTTTCGTAAAGTTCATTCGGAATTAAATAAGGTCTACTGCTTCTTGCTGTTTAAATTTTGTAATCTTCCATACTCCAATAACCCAGAAGTATACCTTCTGTAAAAATTCGTAACACCTGTTTTTTTAACCTGTTTTTTATCGTCTTTCATTATCTCATAGATAATTTTTTATCGTGTATCCACTCACACGAGTCCAGTCGAGCACCTTTTGTATCGCGACTTCACTTTTTATAAAAACAAATGTAAATCTATTTTATATAATATTTAACTTAAGTTCTACTCCTTTGTGTTATTACTAGTTTATTTGTTATTGATCGCTGGCCATTTATTAGAGAAAAATTTAACATAATTAACTAAATATAATTCTTACAAAAAAGGATATAATTTTGAAAAGTATATATTATATTCACCGAATAACTGCGACAACGATATATCGCGGAATGGACGTGCCATTACGCCATTTCTGCGACAGGTAGCACATAGCACTTGCCTGTGTGGAGTGAAGTAGTGTTTTGCGCCGTAACATCGTGCTTTTCACGTTAACAATAGAATAGAGTCGTGCCAGTTATGTATCTAACTCCGTTCGGGAGAAAATTTTTGAATCGAAATAACGTGACTCGCGGTACAAATCGGAAGTTCGAATGTAGTTAATCTGCTTTCTGTAGCTGTAAACTTTCGGACGTCAAGGTTAGCAACTTCGACCATACGCGGGCCGCGACAACCTATCCAACACGGATCACTTTTCAAATACTAATAGTAGACCAGTGTTAAGTAGTAGTCGTGGACGTCCTCTCTGCCGGAAAGAGAACAACTACTACTTTTAGTACTTTAAATTACTTCAACCACCATCCGCAACAGTCCTCTCTTCGTATGGGACCTACCGGTACAGTAGCATTGAGTCGGAAAATTACATATTACGAAGTTACCGGGCTGCATAAAGTATAATTTAAATGGTTTTCGAGAGTGCAGAGTTTAAATGTTTGGTCCGTTTTTCGCGAAATTTGATTGGTTGGCAGATTACCACGTGATATTCCGCTGTGAATGAAACACTTTGTTAGTCGATAACATTAGAAAAAATACATCTTACATTTTTTAAGATATACTTTCGATTGCTTTCTACTCGACCAATGAAATTGTGCCATTTCGTATCATCCGAGTATCGCGATAAACGTGATAATCGCGAGGTTGAGGCCGAAGTTTTCAACGCGAAAACGTGTACGTGGGACGTTCAGCGCTGCCTGAACGTCCGACGTACACGTTTTCGCGTTGAAAACTTCGGCCGCAACCCCACTAATGATAGGCTGAAATAACAAAGCTCTTTATATGGCTTTCGTTTAATGTTCGTTATATTATAGTATTTGATTTATATAACTAGAGAGGTTATCTTAAATCAAATACTATAATGTACAGTCAAACCTATCTAAAACGGTACCCTCAAGGGACTGAACAACTCTTTCGTAGTAGACGGGTTTCCGCTATATACAGGTTACCTGTAATAGGTAGACTATCCCTCGATTAAGGCTAATGTTAGAGGAGCGTGAAAACTCACCTACGCAGTTTTTTCGATTCACAGACGTGAAAATTCACGGACAGAAAGGCAGTGGACGAATGAGCGCTATTTTTCACGGAGCGTGTTGGTAATCATGTTCATTTCATTTTTCTTATACTGTATTTATGTGCATTTTTGAAATACGCGAGTACCGTACAGTACACCCTTCGACGGAAACGACGCCCACCCAGTATTTCCTGGAAACAATCCCAGGTTTTCACGCTGTCTAACCACCGTCGGCTCGGAGTTGATGTCTCGGCGCGCGCGACGGTCACGCAACGTCGCGAGATAATGGAGGACGATCCGGCGGCTCGTTCGTGCCCAAAAGATCACTCCCACAGATTTTATGCAATTTCGTGACGTCCGTGTAAAACGACGGACACGAAATCACGCTCGTCTGACATAATCCTAATGTGTTTAATAAATGTCTCCGTCTTATCGCGTATATCGAAATGGCGTTAAACAAATACAAAGTGACTGTGTACTCGACCGAACAATCACCGCCCGCTAAAACAAATTTTCGGTTAATAACAAATACTTTTATTTTAACTTTAATTTTTTTTCATTTGTCCGTAAAAGTTCTCTAATATAAAAATGAGTAACCGATTGAAAAATAAAATAAATCCTTACCTTCGTCGGACAAAATTATACTCGATCGGTTCGTTTTTTTCGTAAGTGAAAAAACACAAACTGCGTGCGGAACGTAATCGTCGGCATGTTTCGCAATCATTACAAATGGAATAATAATAATAATAATACGTGTCTGCGACACACTAAGATTTGTTGCAAATTCGTCAATCTTTAACAATTCCTTCTCGCTCGTACGTTTTGTATCCTTTAGTTAGAAATTTCCCCGACGAAACTTTCAAAAATTTCGACATTTCGACTTAATTTTATTCAAACAAAATGCAATGTAAAGATTTAAAATAAGCTTCAAAATAAAGAATAAATTTCACAACTTATAATTACATCACGTATTTATGTTAAGTAAAAACAACTGTTAATAAAAATACGCAAAAACTTTCCGTTCAAATCCCGATAAAATTAATGTAATACAGTAGTAGTATTTTGATATTATTATATATTTTTTGACTATTTTTATAATTTATACGTGCAAGTTTTGTAAACTTCTTGTTAGATTTGTGTTACGTCGGATAAATATATCTATTTTTCCGTTATACGGAGCTATTTTCCTTTCCGTTTCCGCGTTAGACAGGTTCCGCTATACGCGGATTAATTTTTGCAAAAAATTTCCCATTAGTGACAGGTTTTTGCTATAGACAGGCTTGAATGTAATACAATAGAAGGGTTAGATGAAGGAAATAATCTAATAATCGAAATGTTTGTACTGTACTTATTTTTTGCCCGGGCAACGCCGGATTTATTCGCTAGTTGTTCCACATATTCTTAATATCGCTAGCCTTTGATTAGTTTTAATTTGTTTGCAGGCAACGAACGTATAGACGATAAAATTTATCCGCCGAGCTTTCGTTCCGATCTCGCTAATACGATGTTAGGAAGAACAATGGCGGCTTAAAATCACGTGATCACCAACTGCCAATGAAAAAAGCGTTCCTTAACTTCTGAGCCTATAATGAAAGAGTAGTCATACAGATAAGCGCCGCCATGTTTTTTCCAAACTATTTATTTAGCCGCAGCCGCACACTATGCTTACTGTACAGTAGTACATATTGCTTCATCCAACCGTTTTTTATAACACAATCTTCGAGAAATGTAGACTTTATCTTTACATTTCTCATAACCGAAAATCTCCATCGAATATCGTAGAATTATCGTGTTGAAAATTATCTGTTGCTGGTTCATAAGTTAATGCTTGTTCGACAGAACTCGCATCATCTTTTGAAATTTTACAGGCTTTTGAAGAAAGTGAGTTTCTTACAGGTGGGGCCTTCCTAAATTTCTTAGATTATGCGTAAAAAAATACGGAAGGGACAGCATTACGCTTCAATTTTCTAGTTCCATCAACTTTCTCGGGTTCGAACTCAATCTGGGGCCACAAAAGGGATTCATTTCTTTATAATATCTGTGTTTCTCTCATAAATGCATTTTGATCTTCCGATTTTCATCACTACGTTATTAGACGTCGTAGGACGTAGATTTTCCTACTACTAATATAAAAGCCGTCGTATGCCTATCCGAACTCTTTATAACTCCTGTCATTTTTCTCCAATACAGATGAAATTTTCGTTATGTTAACTTTATGTTCCGACGGAAACTATAGACTAATTATTTTACAGAAATATTCGTACAGAATAAACGTTTCATCGATTTGAGATGGGCGATGGCAGTGACGTTCACGCTCGACCAGGAAATTTAAGATTGTGAATTTGACGAGTGGTGAAGTGAAAACACGTGTAATTTCCCAAGTCAAAGAAGTTTTATAGTATTCGATAACTGCGGATTCGACTCCGGATATTACACACGTTGCGATCAACCGACTTTTATTACGAGAGAAGTTAATAATAAAGGGGGAAATAAACGAAAGATTTTTCGGTTTTCTTCAAATCGAACACGACGATTCGCTAATTTAGAGAACGTCGTTTTAATAAATTTAGGAAATTTATTGCCGGAGAACGATCGTGCGATAATGCCGCGAATACGGCATGCAAATATTCGGGCTTGCAACCTAGAATAAAATACAGGTTGCCGTTCTCCAACGATTTAAGTTATCTGGTGCGAACCATTCTACGTGCAACGCAACCACACTCTTCGCTGCTCATTATTTTAACATTGTTATAATACAGCATCTACGCATATTTTTCCGTCCTGTGGGCACTAAGAGGAATTCTTATAGCAAGCCCATTATGTGTGCGGCCAGACCCACAATGGGGAAGGACCACCCCCGAAAATTTCCGGGATTTTTTGACCCGTCCGGATTCGATCCCGGGTCCCCAGAGCGGTAGGCTGCCACATCGACCGTCAGATTTTATTTTTAATCGACGGCACGGAAGAGGGCCGAATCCCCGGTTAGACGTACAAAAATTCCATGGGAAAAAATATTCGGTTACGAAAAAACGCGTAAAATAGACGGGCGGTCGAGGTCCGAAATAACGGTAGGTCGACGGGTGGAAACGTTTGCAAACGAACGAGCGGATGGGAAGACCAGCCCGCTACTTCATAAAGGGAGAAAGGGCGCAAGTCCAATTTCGCGGAAAAGTTCTTTAACGGAAATTCCGGAACGGAGGATGCGACCGTCGACTACGGAAATGGACCGCGGTAGACGAGATCTCCAGAGGAATTGCGCAGTAAACGGGGGTCGGTCGAACGGCCAATTGTTTCCTCTCCGTTAAGCGGATCGACGCGGCGATCGATAAAACTCCTATCGACGCAGTCTTCTCCCGGAAGCCACGTAACGTCCGGTCCCGCCCCCGGCGGAGGGGAGAGACGCCATGCGAGGCCGACTGCTTCACTCGCCTCCGGTGGACCTGCGACGCTCTCGTCGCCCGCCCCTGGGACGCATCGGGTAAGTGGGCCCCCGCCTTTCCCTCGGGAAAGTCGGCTTTTTACCTTCCCTTCCGCCGGTAGACTCCGTCCGCGCGCCGCGGCCAATGGACGCCGACGGCTGCCGAATTCCGCCCGGGCCCTCCCACCGCCACCGCGCCTATGCCATACTCGGCCCGGCCGCCGAGACGGACGAGTGGTCCTCGGCCCGCTCGGGATAGGAGCGGGCCCGACCTCCTTTCGGCGCCGGAGAAGTAAGTTGACTTCCGAGGCCTTCCGCCCTCCGTTTCTCCCCATCCCGACTCGGACCACCGACTCCCCCGGAAATTTAAGTCCTATCCTTTTTTGCCGGGAAAAGGAGGGCCGTCGTCGTGAAAATGACGGAAAGGCGAAAGAACGAACGTTTTACTTCCGCCCACGTTTTCGGCCAAAGAGAGAGTCGTTTTAGATGGAAAGGCATTTAATTAAACGGGCAGAAAAATGGTTAATTACGAATTTAATTCCAGATTTATATACGGAAATAGAAAAATAGATGCGGTACCCACGGGAGGGCAAAAGACGCCTCTTTTTTTCTCGTACTTCCGCCCGGCAAATATCCCCACCGTCCGTCCGTTTTCCGCTATTTTTCGTCTTCTTTCTGCCTGGCGCGTACTGGCGTGCGGAAATTACCCTACGACGGAAAGGCGCCGGTCAAAACTGTAAATCGATGGAAGTCCGAAAGTGCCGCTTACGAGCTTAAAACAAATAAAAGGCAGAAAAGCCACGAATTGCGTAAGAAAAATATTCGGGAACGTCCGCTGTTCGATATGGGAGTTACCGTTAGACCGTCCCCCCATGTTTCGTGCGTTAATATTTAAATCGGATAGTGATATGGCGTGTAAACGAAATATATTAAGATATTTGCGTTCCTTGCCCTACTTTATATAATTGTAATTGTAAATAAACAGCGGTGACGTGTCAGGGATGGTGCGCGACCCCGCCGAATTGACCAAGATTAAAAGATTACTGTATTTGTATAGGTACTGTACGAATGCGTAGCGCTCGGCGTTCAGTCTACTTTTCTCCTTACCGCAACGTGGCTCTTTCGAATTGGTTAATAAAGAATCGAAGACCGAAATGTCACACGTGTCTCGTGAAAGTTCTTGATAATCGATCACTTTCCAAAATCTTCATGTTTCGGCTGTTTTACTGTATTGTACCACTCGTCCATACCTAACCGTAAATTCATTTAGAAATTAATCTTATTTTTGTTTTAAAATTATGATAAAAATTACCATACGGATAATGATATTTAGTAATAAAAAGTGTATAATCGCGTGGAGACAAATGCCTACGAATTGATTAAACTAAATAACTATTTAAATATAAAAACCTACAACGTAAACAAAATTATAGAATGTCGAAATGTTAGTCGAAATATTAAATAATAGGTTACTACCAACGAGGTAGAATATACTACAACACGGTGTCTGTGACCTTAGATACTTCGCTCTTGGTGACAACGACTGGTACTATCGGCCGCCATTTTACTTTAAGTCAAAACATCGAAGTCTACACCGGGTGATGGGCAGAATTATTACTTTAGAATCTATTTTTCTCATCTAAATCTAGTTTGTTTTGTTTGCTCTTATTTTAGGTAATTAGATAAGTGATATAAATCTAGATTGTTTCATCTCGAATTTTGCTATTTTCTAAATTTTATTTAATTATGATAAAGAAGAAAAAGAATACTGTCCGAAAAAATCAACAACGTACCGAGTATGGTACAGACCAGACTTATCTGGTACGCTATAAGTAAACGATATTGAGAGTTAAGAACTACATTTACTACTTTAAACTCTGGTAAGTGTAGTACTCAACTCTTAATATTGTTTATTTATAGTGTACCAGATCAATCTGATCTGTACCATACTCGGTACGTTGTTGACTTTTTTCGGACAGTATTCTTTTTCTTTTGCAGAATATAAGTAGTGTTCTTGTGTTATAGTTTGTGAGAATATTTATAATGAAAAACTACATTTTGATCTTTCTCGTGTTATAAACCACATTGAGGAAGTTAAAATCCTTCTAAGAGGTATTCGGGAGCTAATAATTGTGAGAAATCGAAGAAGTGTTTCGTTTGCCCATGAAAAATACATCAAGCAAACATGCCAGTAAGTGAAAGAGTGATATATAGAAACTGCACCATTAGGATGTGAACAAATTGCGTATTGTATGCATCATTCTAGAAAACAAAAGTATGTTAACACGAACCAACCTTTTGTTCGATACGTTGTAGACAACATCCCTACACACTGAAGACGAAGAGGGATTGGGAAATTACCAATCCGAAATGCACTGGTAAACAGGCGAAATAAAGTGAACTGTTTTAATCTCGATCTCTGTTACTTGCGAATAGAGGATTTGATCCCGGGATCCCGAAAATCGGGATCCCGGGATCCCGACCACTTTTCAGTCCCAAAATTTTCGGGATTAAGTTTTCCTAATCCCGAGATTTTCGGGATTGACATCATTTTAAATAAGTTGCAAAATAGACTGCATGAAGCGAAACGTTCAGTGCCAGTGCTTTTAACAGAATTGCTTGCNTTTGATTTCTGTAAGATTTTCTTATTTTTTATTAACCCTCAATACCGAAATAATCCCGGGATCCCGGGATTGACTAAGTATAATCCCGAAATCCCGGGATTAGAAATAAGGACCGGGATCGAATTCCCTACTTGCGAATAATCAAGAAAGACGTGATAGTCTCACTATTGGGAGAAGAAACCTTTACTTATAACTTTTTATATTTTTAATTATTATTATCGAATGGCAAAAAACTGATGAATTTCTAAAAAAAAGAAAAAATTGTAAATGTTAATAACGAATAACATCTTTATTAAGTCCGACCTCTCTCGAGATATGACACATGACACCCCTCTATCTCCCCATCTCTTTAGCCTTTAACCACTAAAATTTAATTGCATCAATGCTCCTTATACATAAGCTATCATGCCAAAATTCGTTTCTTATAGACCACAACACACACATATACACGGAATATTTTTTGACTTTTTTGGGTTCAAGTCTAAAGCGTGGAAATTTACATAAACCTTTGAGGGTCAAATTTAACTTCTTTCCATTATTATGTATGCATAACAGCCGGGAAAGTAAAATTAAAATTGCTTAGAAATGCATTTAACTTATCTCTACAGAAATATTTTGCCTTGTTTAGAAACGTTTAAATAAAGGGTTAAAAAAGAAATGTCTTGTTATTTACTTTCAAAGTTTAAAAAAAAACTAAGTAGGGTCATTTTGACTCGCATCATCTCAATTAAGGCTTAAAACTCTTTCCTTTTTTTGCACACTTTTACACGAGGTAGAATATTCTAGTTCGTTGCCTTTATACAATGCAAACGGCACGCTTCCTTGACTAAAAGGAAAATGGCGAACGTCTATTCAATCTTCTTCAAACACGGCGTCGCTACTCTATGTAGTATATTCTAGCTCGTTGTTATCACCAGTAGAATTGCCACAATATAATTTTCTGTAAATTTTTATTTGGAATGTTCGTCAAACGGTTGTGCCTCAGTCAATTATACTGCGCAGTACAACTACACGTAAAAGATTTTTTGATCGAAAAACGTTGGAGGAAAGACACATAAATATAATAAAATTATAACTGTTTTTATTTAAAACTAAGCATCGAGCGCCGTGACGTGGCCAAAGGTTTAAAAGAATCCGAATATTCTTATAGTAGTAATCTTTTTTCGCGTACCCCCAATTAGGAATCGCTGTATTAGCGTATAAAGGTTTTTTATCTGTGTCCACCGCCATAATTCGAACGCTGATTTTTACCAGGAGGCCAAACGATCTTTCTATCGGACTTCCGCTTTCCGCCGCTTTGTATTCCGTCGGCTTCCACGGCCAGAGTGACGTCGTCCGTCTCCGCACGCGAGTACTTGTCACCGAGTTAGTAGGGAAGGAGTTACAGGACCTTCCGATTTTTCCTTCTCGGATTTACGCGGCATAACTCGCCCGGCCCCACTTCGGGCGGAGAGAATCGGCAGTGTTCGTCTACTCCGCCACAATTAGGGAAAGATCCTTTACCTCCGCGGAAGGCCTCCGTTTCCTTACCCGGAAAGAATGCCGCTCCTCCCTGTTCGTAAGACCGCGGTATAATCGAGACCAAAACGTACATAAGAATAACAAAATATATCCACTTATCGACATCACTACTTGGATAATTTAAACACTGTAATAAAACACCCCCCACACACAAAATTCTTTACGCAGCTCATCGAGGTTAACAAAATCTTGCAATTTTACTATACGGGGAGGGTGCAAAAGTAGGTTTACAGTCGAGAACTGAGAAATACAAATGTATGGTGTTATTAATAATAACAATAATAACCTTTTAGTAGATTCGTATTTCTTATTTGTGATTTAATTTGTACATAAAAATAAATGTTTTTTCTTCCAATTTTCTCCCTGTATGTTTTTTTTTTCACAATAACAACTGTATACCTACTTTTGCACCCCTCCTGTATATCGACAGCATTTTCAAAGCTAGAATACTCTAGTTGTAATTACGATATTCTGGGCGTTTTAAAACGAAATCTTTTGACGTGCATGGATGCGCGAGGAACAAAAGGAATAAATCGTCTTAGGGAGAGACTCCACTTGCGTAAAAACCCTCCCTAGCCGTAAATACTTTTAATCACGTGCCATATTTGCGTTTGCGCTTGGATTGAGGCAGAGGACCGGCTCCACTAGAGAAGTTTTTTCCGGCAACGGTACAATCGACGGTACAGTTGTATATATCGATATAAGGACAATAACTATATTCTACGATTTTTTCTGTACTATTAGTTACAAATATAGTAAAAACAATACGTTAACTTTTATTATCAAATTATGCTGCACTATAGTAAAATATTATGCTTATTCATTATATACGGAATTTAAATTGAAGGATTTTTCTACGATTGTTCTACGTTCTAGACATCCATTCTTTTAATCGGGATGCCCTTGTAACAGATTGGTGGATACTTTCGAATGTTTTCGGTAATCTTTCAACGCCTATTCTAGGTTCGAGCTTCTATGTACCGTACGAGAGAACGTACGGTACATAAAAGCTCGTTTCTCGCCAATTTCTCACCACGTCGTGACGACGTAGATTCCACCAACTTTCGATTGGTCGACGTATTCGACCAATCGAAAGTCGAACGCTACTCGACTCGGTGTACGCCCTGCTCCGGCGTAAAATATCACGGTCACGTGACTAAAAATAATTATGGCGAGGGTTTTTACGCTAGCGGAGTCTCGGCCTTAGGCAAAAGAGAAACGTATGCCGTAAAATGTACGAAACAAACGTAAGCTTTACGGAAACCTTAGTGACGGGTGGTACCGATGTGAACGGTGCACGTAAAACATCCTAGTCTAACATTTCTTACCGAATTTCGAAATCACCATCTTGCGTACTGTACTGTACTTCCGACCAAAAACGCAATCCCGACTAAAGATCGGCCGAGTTTCCGGAAAGGGACGGGGCTACGAAAATTCGTGGTGGTGGTGTATTGTACGTAAACACCTTTCAGACTATTCCGGAGTAGGTACATTTCTGGCACGAAAAAACAAAGGTAATTGTCAGCTTAATGCACAAATTAACAAACATACTCTGACAGGAGTTCTATTTTCAATTTTTTATTAAAATTAAACATTAAAAACTACACGCACGAATTCGTAACTTTTGAAAACATTCATTTAAATAATTACGACGGATAAAACGTAAGGCGATAATTATATTACGTATTAAATGCGCCGGACCGACAGCAAAATTGTAAGAGACGTATCCGTGGGAAAACTGGTAAATGACCCGGAGCGTGACGTTACACTAGTAGTAAAAATTGCCACTTTCCGGCGGGGACCGGGCGGAGGGACTTTAAAAGATCGGCCGAGAGAAAGACGATTTATTTTAAGGAAAAAGCGCGATTTTTTAAATTCCGGCTATCGGGAGGAGGCCCGCCACCCGCGACCCCGGCGGGTCCGTCTTCCTTCCCCAACGTCCTAATCTTCCCGTTCTTCGCAGCCTTTGGCCGGAGCCGGAAGAGGAGAGTAGCCGGACGGATCCGCCCGCCCTCTTTCCCGAGACGGAGGGGCCCCACCCTCGGCCCTACCTTCCCACCGCCGAAGTGGACCTGCGACCCGCCCCCCGACAGGTAAGCCCGGTAAAATACGGGACGTCGGCCGGACCGCCATTATCGCCCGAGGAAAATTTTCCGAACGGAGCGCGAGACTTCTCGGCCTCCTTCCACGTGGCCAAACGGCGGGCGCACGCGAAGGAGACGTTTCCGAAAAGCCGGCGACCGGGCGAGTTTTAATAAGTACGGTGCCGCTCGATATTTCGGACATAGTTACTTCCGGGAGGCAGTTGCCCTTAGAAACAATAGAAACGGACCCGTTCGAATAAGCTTAAAACGGCCGTGCGCCCCTTTAGAATTGAAAAAAAAACATAGATAAATTTTGGGGGATGTATCTGGCCAAGGGTCGCGTATACAGGTATGGTTTCTTTGGCTTTTTTGCTCCTACGGCTCCGATAAGATCTCAACCGTCTCGATCGGAATTCGAATTGAGCCTTTGTGTTTATACAGTAATTATTTATTGGTTTCGACTGCCGTTCCATTTTTATCATTATAGTAAATGATATGGCGTGCGCCGGTGCGTGATATAATTTATTGTAAGGCAAGTGCGCCGTGGTTACGCATTATAGTCTAAATGATAATATTGATTAACTATCCGAGCCCTATCGCTATCGAGAACTCGAAGACAGACGAACGTTAAATTTGGGAAGACGGCCGTTACAATTACTAAATTACAAGCATCTAAAAGGTAAAAGACATTTTACAAACCGTGCGGATGACACTTTTTAAAAGGGAAGCGATCCGTACATTCGGTTACGCGAAATGTAAAGAATTTTAATTTTCTGCCGCCTAAAATCTACGTCACGATACACAAGCACCACATTATAAGCCAATACATTTATATAAAATTTTAAACAATTTTAGTATATACGTACAGTACTTAATCTATAGCTATATAGGCGTTAACCTTACAGAAATTATTTTAAAACCATTCCACAAACTCAAGGTCAGTATATGTTAAAACGGGTTGTAAACCAATTAAATAATATCGATCACCACCTACTTGGCCAGATATTCCCGTTGTTTGTGCGGGTGTTTTCTAATCGTATACATTACGGACCGAGGTTTAATCACTCGGTTATTCTCTTATCTCAAATATAACGGACCGATTCTTTTCGCATCTTTTTGTCCCCTTGTCTCAGAAAATATTCATTTACACGGTACCTTATTTACATTTTAACAATTACTCGGACTGTTGCCAGCTAGATTACAATTGTACACCGGTATTGTCTTTTATCCTCACATTATCTTTAATCTTAACAATTTCTAAATGCTAAATACAATTTGTTTTATTGGATTGGGTTCCTTTGTTTAATACTTTAAACGAATCTTTTACGATTTCACAGTTATAGTTTATACGATGTTTAGCCACAGCCGAATTATGTAAATTATATTTTATGGCATTAACGCGTTCCTTAAATCTTAATATTGTTTAGTTTCTCCCGCAAAAAAATGGTTACGGCTGCGAGAAAACCTGCCCGAAATGCATACCGCGGTTACCAATAAACATTTAACGTCTGTCGATAGCGCAAGAGCTATTTATGGTGCTCGGATAATTAATTAATAATGGCGGGACAAGAAGCGTAATATTAATCGATAACGTGGATGTTGCTAATTTCAGGTTTTTTTTTTTTTTTCTGTTTACCCGCTTATTTTACGCTTGGAGCGCAATGAAAAATGAGTGGCAACTTTCCAGCATTGTTGCAATTGCCAAGCGAATTTTTGTGGAATTTACCGACGGAAGTAGCGGGTACCACCGTAATTGTGCCTCGTGCGACGTTAGCGGCTTTTCCAATTTCCAGATAAATGCGCGATTAAGCGGCCGAGACCGGCATTATCGAAAAACGGAGAGAAGCGGAAAACCTCCGAAATCGGCGCCTCGGGGTTGCTTCCGGTCTCCGAATTTCTTCTTCCGCCGGACACCCCGTCCACTTTCCCGACTTTACGGGGCGAGGCGTCCGGTGGGAGAGGGGAAATTGTGCACCGAACGGTTTTTGGATTTCAGGAGGCGTGGAAAGAGGTGGTGGAAGATCCGGTCGTGGCCTACGACGTTCTGGAAGATCTTCTGGACCGAGTGCTGGATTCCGACACCCTGACTCGAGTGGCGCTGGAAGCTTGGACCGAAGCTCGATCTGGAAGATTTCCCTCTCGGGTGGGTTCTTCTTCCGCTCTTTTCGGGCAGCGGAACGAGGGAAATTTTCGTTTCGCTGTCGGGTCTATTTCGTGTTACCACGACTTCGCGGCTCGGGAAACGCTTTTCCGTCGACTTTCGCTTCGGGTCCGCCGGAACCGATAATCCGGAAGTCGCCGGGTTTCCGGGCGACGAGGAGTGGGTTTTAGTCTTCCGAAGGACGTCGGGCGGCGCTCTCCTTTTTAACCCGTCTTAACAATTAGCCTACTTTTTACTCGGTTTTTATAAAATGCGGGCACGGGATTTTTATTTTCATCGATTTACACCCACAAAGCTCCGTTCTTCGTGTCACAGGTTAACAAACCTCTTTCTAGGGTCCGAGACCCTTTCGGAAAGGCGTAGGCGGACGATACGGGGGAATAGCCAACGGTCGTCGACGTAGACGAAGTAAGTTATTGAAATTATTCGCGTTGTCCGCCTTGCGCCGACGAATATTTGGCTATTTTAGCGGCCTTCTTCGCGCCGTTCCCTTAACGTAACGTTTCCCGTCGCGGAGGAAAAGTGCCATTTCCTCCGTCTACAAAAAGTACCTGGATAACACTTATAGTCGCGGGGATGCATACTTCGTATTCCGGGCGCGGCCGAATTTAGAGCATAAAATAAAAATAAAAAACCAAACGTCACCGACCGGGATTTCTTTTTTCGTCTTTCCGGTTTTTCGGCGGAAACCATTCGGACGATTTCCGCTTTTCGGCTGAAGGAAAATAACGATTTTCTCTTTTTTTTTGGCAGAGTTCGGGACGGAGGACGGAAGAACCCGGCTTCTTCGTACGGTAAGACCGCCTTTCCGCCCTCCCGAACCCTCGGGGCGGCAGAAGTGGCGGACACTTTTCCCCGCACGAGACTCCGGACTCCCCCGCCGAAAATCCCGGTGACCGTCGGCCGTTTCTCTTTTCAGGTGTCCCGTCCACGGACCCAGGTTCCTGTGAAGGCTTCTAGCGGGAACATTCCCTACCGCTAACCGCGACGGAAATAAAACCGGTTGGATTAAAATCGACGGACGGTTTATCGAGTGGCGGCGGCGATCTCCGTCCAAAGTCATCTTAAAAATAACATAGAAATGGAAGGACTGTTTTTCCGTCGGCGATCGGACGAACGCCATATTTCGCGGCGCGCGTCACTCGTCGGTTTCATTTCGAACTAGCGTAGGTAGACGGGGGCCCGGTAGACGGCCACGCGAAACTTTATTTCGTACGAAAGTATTTAAAAAGAAAAAAGTAGAAGTGGGCGACGCGAGGTACGTAACTGGGCTTTCTTTTTCTCATTTCCGTCTTTATAAAATTGGGCGAAGCGTCCCCAATTCCAAACTTACCTCAGGTCCCTAAACGAGAAATAGTAATACGGTGAAACTTCCGTTAACGGATACACCCGAATCGCGGATACCTCTAATGATCTGGCAGTTTTACAATCCCCGGGCCCTTCAAATAGGACATTTATTATATTTTCCTGTAAATCACGGACGCCGTCGTCCATGTCCAACCCTAAGTCCCGCCTTCAATATTCCCTAAGAACTAATTACCTACGAAATATTTTTAAACTAAAAGAATCGGTTCAAATACTCTTTCGGGGGACGAATTTCGACCGCGGGTGTCGAATAAAAACGCCGAAAATGGGAATGGGGAGGAGGGCGGGTTGTAAAAAGCCGAACAATACTCTTTATCTGTTGGAAAACACTAATCCGGTTAAGTTGTCAATCGTCACATATCATCATACATATTATTAAACGTGCCGTATTGTTGGAATTAAGCTTACGGTACCGAGAAACCGTAAAGTTTTCCCGCATTATTCATTCATCCGACAAGAACAGCAGTAACGAAAAGAAACTTAAAGCGGTTACGACGACAGCGCCTATGGTAATGAAAGTTCAAAGGTGGTGTTTACGAAGGAGATTTGCGGGCCACTTTAAAGGGAGAGAAGATATTCGGTATTCTGGCATTTACGATCTTAACTGCTTTGAGGTGGCTCGGGTGTAATCTTTTTATAAATCTATGAAATAAAGTAAAGATGTTGGAAAAATTACAGTACTCGTCAACTACAAAGCGGACAAATCCCTACAAGGAATTTTATTAATCGCTTAGATCGTAAATGATATTATAAATGCGAGAATATCGAACACCTTTCCCACTCCCGGAAGTGGCTAGCAAATCGCCTCGGTAACTCGACATTCGAACTCTGCCTAAACCCACCTTCGTCCACCCTTTCGATCGTAACAAGTTTCGTTTTTCTTCGTCGTTTTTGCCGAATTAATAATTAATCGACGTACAAATACTGTATTTACGTTTCGTCGTGATTATTACGTGACATTCGAACTGCCACGTCCGATCCGTTTGCTATTTAGAATTTAATTAAAATGATATTTTTACAGCCGAAAAGATAATATACTGTATATATATCCGTAATTGAATTATATATGCTACGTATACCGTCTCCGATAGAACAATATGTACCGATATCGGAGACATCGATATTAAAAACTTTTTTGTGATACGTAGGTAAACACGACCCGCTGTTAAATACTTTAATATTTCTCTCACTGCCGTCGTCGTTTTTTACCTGTCGTTTTACCTTAATCCGTCCGTTTGAACATTGTCTACGACTGTATTTTAAACGGTTACATTCGTTACGTTCCGTTTTATTTAACGTATAAACAATGACGAACGCGCTAGTTTTTCTCTTCGAATCGGGCGAAAAAGCCGACGTTGCGGAATAAATTGACATTAAGAGCCTGTACACACTAGGCGTTTTTCAACGCGCGTTTAACGCCGAGCTAACGCGCGGTAGCTCGGCGTTCGACGAGCGTTAGTTCGGCGTTAGCACTGGCTTAGTTTGAAAATGGACGTGAAAGTAATTGATTGTGTGTGCCTCCTCCATCGTCGCTATAAGGCAGCACATATATCTCAAAGTGCCCGCAAAACGCGCGTTTTAACAAAAATCTATAAACGCGCGTTTAATGCGCGCTTGGCGTTTGAGTGTGTACGCCTACATAGAACTCTTGGTTCTTTAAAACGCGCGTTTAACGCGCGTTGAAAAACGCCTAGTGTGTACAGGGCCTTAGAGTCGCCGGCGGTTAAAGGCTGTTTCACACTAGCGAGAAATTGCGGCCGACGTTTACAACGCGAAAACGTGTACGTCGGACGTTCATCGCCGCCTTTCTGTGAGCCTAGAAGTTTAACAATGGCGTTTGGAACGTCCGTAGAATCATGCTCGACGTTCCAAACGCCATTGTTAAACTTCTAGGCTCACAGAAAGGCGGCGATGAACGTCCGACGTACACGTTTTCGCGTTGTAAACGTCGGCCGCAATTTCTCGCTAGTGTGAAACAGCCTTTAACCGCCGGCGACTCTAAGGCCCTGTACACACTAGGCGTTTTTCAACGCGCGTTAAACGCGCGTTTTAAAGAACCAAGAGTTCTATGTAGGCGTACACACTCAAACGCCAAGCGCGCATTAAACGCGCGTTTATAGATTTTTGTTAAAACGCGCGTTTTGCGGGCACTTTGAGATATATGTGCTGCCTTATAGCGACGATGGAGGAGGCACACACAATCAATTACTTTCACGTCCATTTTCAAACTAAGCCAGTGCTAACGCCGAACTAACGCTCGTCGAACGCCGAGCTACCGCGCGTTAGCTCGGCGTTAAACGCGCGTTGAAAAACGCCTAGTGTGTACAGGCTCTTAATGTCAATTTATTCCGCAACGTCGGCTTTTTCGCCCGATTCGAAGAGAAAAACTAGCGCGTTCGTCATTGTTTATACGTTAAATAAAACGGAACGTAACGAATGTAACCGTTTAAAATANTCTGTATCTGTATGAATGTGTAAAGAAAGTGTTCTTCCACCTCCTCCTCACATCTGATTACCCGGCATAATTGGTGTCTGCTCCATTTTCGTTTTTTATGGTACAGTACGGTTATTTTATGCTGCGGAACGAATTATATGTTTTAACATGTATTTCTATGGAAAAATGCGTTTCGTATAACGGACGTTTCACTTAACGGACGTTTCACTTAACGGACGTGCACCTGGAACGGATTAAGTACGTTGTACGAGGCACCACTGTATTTAACTTTTCAAATCTGTCCGACTGGAACGACTAGTCGGTCGGCAGACTGCTGTTGCCATGGTAACACGACTTGGAGTCGGGCCAGTCGGTCGTAGTGTGAAACAGCCCTAATTAATTTCGGCCGACACGGAAATTATTGGGCGTTCTCCGTCACCGCTCGTACTCTAGGCAATTCTAAAACTCCGGGACGTGCGCCAGTATTATATCCGCCTTCCCGGGAAAACACCAGCAGAACGTCGGCAGCACGGGGATGGAACCAAAACTTTTAAAACATCCCAGAATAAATATTTCGAGTGGAGACCGGATCCGGGCAAAACCTATATTCGAAAGACAACAAATGAGCCGTTGATTTTGAAAGTGGGACAAGTCCATTTTATGCTATTGCTAGATTTAATGAATGGATAAGTTAAAAAATATTCGTAAGCAGTAATAGACTTATATTTTTTGGGGGTGTTATTTCGTGTAAATTTACCACGTAATATGCAATAATGGTTATCCGCGTTAGGTGAAAAAAATCATGATTTTGGTATGCGCCAATGGACTCGCCTGACTTTCAAAAACAATGATTTGTTGGAAACGTTGATTTTCTTCGAATGAAATGTAAATATAATAAATAAAATATGTAAATAACAAAAAAATTAAATATTTATTTTATTTCAGCATTTCGTACTTCTTTCGAAAAGCTACAATAAAACGAAAATAAATTTTGATTCTGATGAAACCGTGTTGTTGTTATTATGCTGTTTCTTTGTAGACACACGAAGGTGACATATTTCAACACTTGGCAAATTATTCACTATTTATTCAGTTGGTTGATATTGAACTGTACACAATAGTGAATAATTTGCCAAGTGTTGAAATATGTCACCTTCGTGTGTCTACAAAGAAACAGCATAACAACAACACGGTTTCATCAGAATCAAACGAAATTGTTAATATAGAAACGGCAGTTATTGACCAAAAGAAAGGAAAAAACATGTGTACAGTTCAATATCAACCAACTGAATAAATAGTGAATAATTTGCCAAGTGTTGAAATATGTCACCTTCGTGTGTCTACACAGAAACAGAATATAAATTTATTTTTATAGGAAAAAATGGATAAAATAAGAAAAAATATTCAGTAATAAGTTGCTTGCGTGTAATTATATTTCTTAGTTTAGATGGTGCAGATTTTTAAAGTATTCGTGACGAATAGGTAATAAATCCATAAGGAAATAAAGAAAAATATAAAGATACGATGGATTTAATGTGGACTTGCCTCCTTTCAAAATCAACGGCCCGGGACGGGCGCACGCCGGGCGTATACCACACACACACAAATCTTTTATTTAGGTATATAAAACATATACATTTCCAGTACAGCATAGGCATAACCGGATTACTCATATATCTACGTATATTATTAACTATATTTAGCAGAAATAATAACTAACAACAAATTATAAATTTGTTATTAAACGGCCTTTCTTCCGGGCGTATACCGGAAGAAAAGCCGTCCGCCCAGGGCCACGGGTTTATTTCGGGACCAAGGCGTGAACGGGAGAGGCGGAGCGTCCTGTTTTGGAAAACGCTGTTTTACTTTGTTCTCGACTTTTCGAAAGTGACCAAACTCCGGGACGAAAATCGGAAGTGAAAGAAATGTAGAAGTCGACCCGTATCGATCGGGCGAGTGCCGCAGGCTTAATTTAATTCCGGATAACAAATTGAGCCACCACAGCGCACCGGAACGTAATTTTCCCGACCTACTTAATGGAGATTTCTTAAAGTAAAGGTCGGAGAGAAAAGAAAAGGACAACGATCGGAAGAATTTTACAGCCCGTTCTGCAAGTACCTAAAGAAACTGAATCCACGTCGACTTTCCGACAAACGGTTATTGCGCAACTAAATACGTCGGTATTCGTAGACTTATCCCAGCACTTGATAGTGTATGTTTCCGAATTCTCAAATGTCAATTATACCGCATCGGATTAAGAGGCCCTCCTCCACCTTGCCTAATGACGTATTTACGGAACATAAAATACCTGGTCGGGGTAAATAATTCCATTTCGAAATCTTTTACCGAAGAGTAGAGCTCCATATTAGGACCTCTAATCTTCGATATATGTACCCACCACCTCTTTAATGCCTGGTCTCAAGACGGAATTTGCAAATAAAAGAGCGAGAAGTACGGGAATAATAGAGAATACGAGATCACTCCAATATCCCGACGAAACGTCTATAGTCACCCGCGGAAGTCTACAAAGTCCGGACACGATACCGTCACGCGTGGCTGCAGTCGCCATATTGGGTCCTTTGGGGACTGTGTGTGGTGTTTCTAAGAGCGAATTGTTCCGTTTTCCCATCGACAGATCCAGGAGAATGATAATTTAATAAAAGTAATAATTTATTAATAGTTAGGCTACATACAGCGGAACCAGATATATTAAAATTGAATAATAAATTATTGAAGAAACGCCATCTTAAAGATGTTTTGTCCCAAAGTGACATTTTATTGTTTGATAATGTACTCGACTTTCTTATTCCGTATTAGTTTAAGAAAAAGCACGATCCGCTTACATTTTAGAAGCCTTTTATAAAAGTTTTTAAGACATTTAAAATCTGAAAAAGTATCGTTTAAACGTATTTATCACAGAAACAGCATATTATCATCCTAAGAAATATTCACTTAATCAATTATTTTTCAGAAACATCTAATTTATATTAATTGAATTATTATTAATTATTGTGAGATATGTAATATAATAATGGTTTTAATAAATAATGATTACTTGCTGAGAAAACTACAGAAAATTTTATTTTTCTAGTTGACGCTCTCTTTTAGAAGGAACAACAACCATACAAGATTGTTCTTATTGAATATATTCAAGCAATTTGACTGAAATTCCGTGCATATTTTATAATTACAATTGCTTTTATAACTTCATATTTTGATACAAATAATGCTATTTGCTGCATATACTGTCTATTACGTGAACGTTGCATTTTCTGAAGTTTTAACGAAATTGGAAAATACAGTATCGCGTTACTAAGAGATTTAAATATTTTGTTATATGAAAACTGCTTTAATATTTAACA